CGTGTAGTCAGCAGAGCCTGCGGACTAGTGCGCCGCAACCGACATTCCGCAACATCTTGATGAGTCGGACTCTGGTGTTTAAGGTGAACGGTTAACGACGCCTTCCAGCCCCGGCATGGTTCCCCAGGGCCCCTGACCGGGATACATACGCTTACGCTTGTAGGGGTTTCTCTTGAATACCCCCCTGGCCCGTGTCTGTGTCCGCAACCCCGTTATCTCCTCTTTTCTCCGCGGCCAATCGACATTCGGGTTCAGTGCGGGATTAATCATCTCAAGGCGACGGTGATCCATCCAATCCGGCCTTTTCGTGAAGATGCTGACGTATGATCCGTCATGTCCAACGTGCTTTACCTACGGCATTGAAGGGGACCCGGGGAACGCTCGGGCTGTTTTCTCAGACGAGGTGAGGGATTGATTTCAAGAAATAGGGGGCTAGAGGGCTGGAGTAGGAGGTATGGTGGGTTTGACTTGACCCAGGAGCGTATAACTTTTCGAGGACGGCGGGATGCGTTCTGCTACGGGGATGCTCTGGGGTGTTGCTTGGCTCCAGGTATGTGGACATTGGACCTGAATCATACTCGGTGGGCATCGTCACCATCGGGTTTAGGTCTGGGTGCTCTCATGACGGACTTTCGGGGGTCTTGTGGACGGACTACTTCTGGAGGGTTGACGGTCTAGTAGCGACTGTACGTGTAACATCACATCTCTGTGCCTGGATTTTGGTGACTGCTGCACTGCAGAAATGGTAGAGTGCATGATGCATGGCATAGCTGCCGACCGGACGATGAGGGGGGATGTCGTTCATACATGCTCAGCTACCCTGCCGGGCGTTACCTGCATGGAATACAGCTCGAGCTGTACTGAACGTTCATTGTGTAGTTGAAGTCCCTCCCTCCCGAGGGAGCCTCTCCTTATCGCCGGCTACCACGGAATAAACAAAAACAAAAAAGGTAATGACAAGAGTGGGATTCGAACCCACGCCATCAAACGATGATCAGGAAGCTTTTTGGAAGCTGTATGCTAAGGTAACCTTAACCTGACGCCTTGGACCAACTCGGCCATCTTGCCTGTTTGATGGAAAGGGCTGGGAAAGATGGTTACATGTTCCAGCACAGATGAAGCAGCTGATGACAGTAGGAACGAGGATAACCCTGTGGGTATCGAAGCCCTTTTGGTAACTATAGAAAAAATATGTGCTGGGCAGGAGAGCTAGATATAGCACTATCAATCGCATTGAATGAATATAGGTACTAGTAGTCCCTCTCACAAGTCCCGCTTGTGTATCTGGGTTCAAAAGTGTAAAGTACAGGACGAATTATATATCCACCGCCCAGCTGGGATACCAACCCAATTGATATATCCAACTTCTCGGAATCAATAGTAATTGTCACCCACCAAACGCAGGCCCCCAATAGCATTACGACCGTCCTCCCAGGTCTGCCCCCCACCCAGCTCATTCACTCCGCACATACGCCGGGACAGTCGTCAAATTCAAGCCCGCCAGAAGATTCGTTCCGTTCCGCACCAACACCCCGCGCAGGGTATTCTCCACCAGCTTCCCGAGCGGCACCTGCGCTTTCATGGTCAGGTTCCGCATGACCTCGGTGTAGTACGGCACCTGCACGCCCTCATAGGTGACGTCCGTGCCGACGGTCGTCAGATCCAGGCATCCGCGCTTGATCGCCGCGCGCTGGTCCCGGAGCACCCGGCCCAGGTTGGTGATCACCTTGCCCAGGTCGAAGACCCCGCGCACCGGGGTGGAGTGGTTGCCTGGCGTGAGGGTGAGGCTGTCCAGGGTGACGTTGCCCACCAGGAGGGTGTTGCTGTAGAGGTTTAGGGTTGTTGTTCCCTGCTCTCTCGGTGAGGGGGGTATGGGTTAGTTGGCTGTGGTGGGGGTTTCAGGATGGCAGGGGAAAGGAGGGGGGGGGGACGCACAATCTCTAAAGTCATGGCGGATGGGTTGGGGAGGGTTGCGTTGGCGAGGAGGTTTGTTCCATCGTCGTGGGCGCGGAGGAGGAGTTGCGGGTCCGAGATGGAGAAGCCCTTGAAGGAGTTGAGGGCTATATCACCCCGATCATGGGCCGTTAGTTTGTTACTTCCCATCGCATGCCGTAGGGGCCACATACTGGTCTGGTGGATGTCCTTGTTCATGGTGACGTGGGACTTCAACTTGCCGATGTACGCGGTCGTTGAGCCCCTGACTGAGAGAGGGGCGTGGGACTCAAACACCACGCTGCGGACGTACTCGGTCCACTCGGTCACATTCAACGCGGTGAGGGTGCTGTTAGTCGCGAGGGTGGTGTTGCCGTAGATGCGGGCCGACGGGAGGTAGGCTTTACCCCAGGTATTGTTCTCGGGTCGGTCGCGGTTGAAGAGGTCCATGGTGATGGGGTCGATGCGCACGGGGATCTTGAGGGGAAGGTCGAGGGCTGAGTCGATCCGGAGCATCATCGAGTCTGGGCGTGGTTGGAGCACGTCGGCGTGGACGAGCACCAGCGTGGACCCGTCCACCACTCGCTGCGCGATGGCAGGGAGGATGACGAGGAAGCTGTTGCCCAGAGAGTCAGCTGGTGCGTATCTTCGAAGCACATAATCGGGAAATTCCGTACAAGATAGGCAGAAAGATGGCGAGAAAGATAATGCTTCCAAAGACATAACAGCACCAGAATCTTCCCCAATGGCGACGCAGTTTCTGCGTCCGCGTTCGCTTGCCCGGTTCGAGCGAAATGCTCCTTGTCTTTTCAAGGTGCTCGTTATCGACACCCTCTGAGGGCAAGGGCCCCCGATGAGTGCCCAAGGCGTATTTGGCATCATCGGAGTCGAGACTGGAAGGATTTGTGGCCATGGCCAGGGCGGTCGGTGGAAGATGCTGGTGGATGAAAAGCACTTCACCTGGTTCCTTGCTAGATGGCTAAGCCCATGCACTAAGTATCATTACCGTGAAGAGCCAAATATGGAGGTTGCACAGATGGTTCCGGTGCTACACCCAGTGCAATTGCATGGACCCTGACCCTGCCGATCAGCCGGAGATACTGTGGAACCCGTTGGGGATCGAGGGGCTTGGTACCCATGCGGGCAAAGACGATCAGCCCCGATATTTGGCACCCTGAACGGATTAGGGCAACGCTCACTTTTGCGACGAAACGGGGATCTACTGGGTGGCAACTTTGGGGGAGTTCATCAAAGATGCAACTGCAATCGATCGCTCTAACAACGGCTTTTGAAATTAATCAATTCTCTTCAATGAAACACCAGTTTCACCTCTCCACACTGCAGTGCAGGCTGTACCCAATATCGCACTTAGTCCTACTGCCAACGCGCCAAGCTAGTTAACCCTCACTCGATCTCCATATCAATCATGTATCGCGTCTTCCCGGAGGATACTCCCCTCCCACCGAGTCCGCCTCCACCCCGAAGGCCCAGCACGGCAACCACCATCAACATGAACGAGAAAAGCATTTCTGAACACATCTTCGCTGTTCCCTCAACAGCCAGCAGCAGCAGCGGCAGTAGTGGTACCGTCATCACCAATGCCCCAAACCCCACAACCAGAACAGACATCACGAACATAACCACCCACCTACACAACCTCGCCAAGCTCGAGATCCTCCCTCAAATCCTCTGCGAGGGGATCCTCTTCGCCGGCGCCGGCGCCGCCCTCCTCCTCCAAGCCGCCCACCCAGGCATCAACACCGTCTTCGCAACCCCCGAAAACAAACCCAGCCACAGCCGCAGCCTCGCCCACAACCTCACCCAGACCCTGCAAACCACCCTCCAGCAAATCGCCCTCCTCGTCTTCGGCACGTCTCACGAAAAAGCGACCCTGCTCACGCAACTCCACCCTCCCACTACGGGTGGCATCTCATACCTGACCCTCAAAACCCCATCCCCAAGAATAACCCGCCCGCAAACCCTCCTCTGGCTAACGGCCACCCTCTACACAACAGCCACAGACCTCTACCAACGCACCTACGGCCCCATTGACTACCGCACCGCTGAACGCGCCTACACGGAGTTCACGCTGGTGCTGCAGGCCCTCACCCTCGGGGAGCTGTGGCCCGCGACCCGCCAGGAGTTCTGGGGGTACTGGGACGGGCAGATGGCGCGGTTGGCGGTGACGGCGGAGTCGCATCGGGTGGCGCGGGAGGTCCTGCACCGGAGCCCCCTCGTGGCGGACCTATTTCCGCGGTGGATGGCGGGGGTGATGAAGCCCGTGTTCCGCGGGGTGACGATCGAGCTGCTCCCGCCGCGGGTGCGGGTGGCGTACGGGCTGAGGTCGTCGGCGGGGTCGAGGGGGTGGTATCGCGGGGTGATGGCGGGGTTTGGGGGCGCGGTGTATCCTGCGTTGCCGGGGTGGGTGCGGGGGTATCCTTTGAGGGTCTGTTTGGGGGAGTGGAGGGGCGGGAGGGAGGGGAAACGGGTTGTGTATTCTTCTTAAGGATAGGGAAGAGGAGGAGCTCTATGGCTTAAATATTTTGAAGTTATCTAGGAATGAATGGTGTTCCTGAGTCTGTGCGGATGTCTTAGGGATTAACATGCTTGCTTGGAGTTTTAACTGGGATATAGTTATATCTATGAGAATTATGGTTGGCATCTTTGGGAACTATCTCCAACTTATCGTCTTCAATTAGCAGTAGCGTACGTAATTCACCATGAGAACCCGTTCACTCAGCAGACTCATCTAGACCAGGTCTTGCTTCGCCTATCCCTCCGCAATCCCCCCAATTCCCGGAGACCAAAACCACGCCTATGCTCCAATACAACACGAGCAATACCACACAATTCATACCCATTATATCCTATGGTTAGACCAGCTACCTATACCACCCCCACCCCCCTTTGTCCCCGCAAAACCAAATCACGAACTCCCGATCAACGCATTCATAATCTTCCCCACATCTGAAATCATCTATCACGCCCAAGTTAGCCCAGCCCTATCCCACCTACCCAAAAACCTGACCCCAGCTAGAGACAGGGCTCGGAGGGGTGGGGGACAAACTCACCGGATTCGCCATATCAATCAGCTGCGTCGTCTCGTTGACGAACCCCGGCGTCAGCAGACGGTCCGCATTGTCGAGGAGGCGCTGCAGCTTGTCGATGTTGGGCCCGGACAGCAGCCGCTGCAGGTTCTGCGGCGTGTCGCCGCCGAGCAGCACCGCGCCGCCGCTGACGATCGTCTCGAGCTTGTCGACCGTCTCCGGGCTGAGGAGCTCGGTCGCGCCTTGGAAGATGGTGGGGAGCTCGGAGAGGAGGCCGCTGGATGCGGGCGCGCGCGGGGCGATGGGGTTTGAGGCTAGTGCTTCGGTTGCTGTGGTGGTCGTGGCTGCCAGGGCGAAGGGGGTGAAGAGGAGGGCGAGGAGGTAGGTTTTTAGGGGCATCGTGGTGCGGGTGCGGGTGCGGCTGGGTTTGGGGTTGTGGTTGTGGTTGTGATTGCGGGAGGCAGAGGGGGTGGTGGTGGTTTGTTTGGGCATTTTAGGTGGATTATGAGTTTTATACGAGGAGGAAGTGATGGGATATTTGGGAGTGTAGAAGGAGGGATGGATTACTTTGCACAGAGGGGTAAAAGGGTTTATAGATCTAAACGATCTAAGGTTGAGAGGAGGGTGGTCCCTGGGTTGAGGGGTGATGGTTGCAAAGTTTATACCATGAATGGGGTGGTGGTTTCAAAACAACGGTGTTTCATGTTGGAGCTTCCAGTGCACTGGGCATTCCGAGGCTGATGGATATCATGTATCCATGTGAATTGACTATTCGGAGGGCATGCGAACCAGACTTTGGTACTATGGGCCTTCTCAGGGACAAGTGCTCTGTGCTTGGTCCCCCGCACCCTGGACCTACCAACCCGGCCGATCACTCAAGGACATCTGGCATACCGGAAATCAGGGTGGTTGTGAGAGAAAGAGCAGAAAGTGCGGTGCTACGGACTACATTTCCTCGTACGTATCTGAAGATAACCAGCCATTGCACCTCTGCTGCAACCAGGGTCATTCTGACGGTGAATGTGTTTCGTCCTTCGGAGAATGGCTCAATGGGGTAGTTCGCGATCCGACCGCGACCCTTGTACTAGGGGAGGAAGACATGACTGGTAAAAAGGTGGGAAATGCCCGTTTTTGAGTCTTCGGTTTGACGTTGGTGGGTGTTTCAGGTTGAATTGATTCTGAGGAATTGCTTATCCGGGTCTAGTGCGATCGACGCCCAGGGCGAAGTTTAATTAAATTAAGGTATGGCAGCCGATGACCGGCTTCTGGCTCACTCGAGCTTGTCGAGTACTGCCTTTGATTCCTAGTGCTGTGGGAAATCGATATCGATACAATATAAGTTTTGATGAGGTTCGTACAAAAAGTGCCTCTATGGGCAGAGGAATTGGTCGCGTTTTGGCTCTCGGCAGGTTTCTCATAGTATAGCGTAGCCCTGGACCAGGTTATTATAGATTTGACTGGAAGACTAGAGTCTGAGTTTTCTTCAAGTCATACAGACATTAATGCACGGTCTGGCCCCATAGTCGTATGCCAGTGATACGCCACCACAGATGAAGTAGTAGGAACGGACCTGTTCCACACCAAGATAAAGTTGGAAACCGGCATGAACTCCTGTTCACCACAAGTAGAACCCGTTTCAAGATGATCGAATTGCGGTTACCATTCGCATTTATACTGTACATTCTCATGGATTGGTTCGAGCACATGGCCGCCATAATCTCCTAGAGAACTCGACCCGAAACTCTATCTCAGTCCCTGATCAACAAGCTCAAAACTGGGTCTAACCAGGCAAAACACGCTCCGAGACTTTTGGTTTACCCATGATTCAATGAGTTCGGAAAAGACAAACAGGCTCATTAAATCTCCATCAGTCTGCTACAGTTTCCGGTGCGATACCAATAGCACTGACGATCGGAGATATAGCAACACTTCCCTCCCGTGAGTCAACACAACGCACCACCTCTACTCAACCCAGCCAAATCCACACCTACAGAGTGCACAGCACTACAATGAAGTTCCATCTCAGCCCCATTCTGCTTCTCGCAGCACCCGCCTTCTGCGCCCCCGAGCCCACCCCAACCGAGTTGACATCACTGTACGGCCCCCCTTCTGCCACTTCCATATCATCTATGATCTGTATGCAGAACCGCTGATTCAAATAGAGCACCCTCCAAAACCATCCCCACCCCCAACGCAGACCCCAATCCCAACCTCAACCTCAACCTCAACCTGAATCTCAACCTCAAACGCTCCCTCGCAACCATCGCCCCGCCTCCCCACTCGATCATCACCCAGATCCCGCCCAGCGCCCTCGCCGAACTGCTCATCCCCTCGCGCCGCAGCGCGCTGGCCAGCGACTTCAGCAAGGGCGCCACGCCGGCGTGGTACGGGGCGCTTCCGACGGAGGTGAAGCGTTATATCTCCTATGTCAAGGAGGAGATTGCCAAAGATGAGAACGAGAAGGGGGCTGGGTCGGTGGTGGCTGGAGAGGAGGGAGTGCGGGAACTGGAGGTGAAGGAAGACGAGGATGGGGTCACGTCGGGGACGAAGATCAGTGGTGGTGGGGCTGGGTTGAAGAAGCACGTGGGGGAGTCAGTGGGCTTGATGGTTGTGGTGTTGCTTGGGTTGGGGGTTTGGGGCGGGTGGGTTTAGGAGGTGGGTATGCTTGGATATCGGATATTGTGGGTGCTTGGATGGATTGTGATCTTGTGCTTCGGTTTGTGTTTGTGTAGATGGAAGATTGTCGAAGGTTGTGGGTGTACTTGCGAGTATCTGGGTCGAGTGGGTGTTTGAATATTGCTTTGATATCCAGCCTGCGTTGACTTACATGCAGTGTTAATTTGACCAAGGGGGATAGGAAGACCTGAATGCTGAATGGCAAGCTGTTCAATCTGAATCTTGGTCGCTGTGCTGCTCATCCTCGGGAATATTCCAGATTTGAGGGCAGAGATCTAGAAATATTTCTCGAGATGATCTCTTCATGACAGGGTACTCAAGACTCAGACTCGAAACCTCCATTTGTCCACCCCTACCCATATAGAAGATCAGAAGGAATTTGGGCACCAATGCCAGGCCGACGTTCGTGTGTGGAATTGCCTGGCCAACTCCCCGAAAATGCTTGATAGTCGGGTTCTTGTCCTCTAAGGGCTTCTTCACAAAAAGAATGTCAATGATGCCGTCACTGTTTGGTTCTGCCACGTATATGAGAGTGTGGCAGTCAAATTCCCTGGCAACAAAACAGAAGCGTGTGCTGGGGATGTGCCCGTCCACGACGATATCGGAAGGCAAGCGAGATGACTTTACAATAGGTATACCATCATGTGCCTGGTCGAGCTCTGAGGATTCACAGGCAACAAGATCAATAGTACCTTTGCAATGGTAGAGAATAAGCATAACCTTCAAATTGTCACCACAGGCCAACAAGAGCGGGCCACATCGAAGTCCTTCGTGTCTCGAGTCCAGCCGTGTTAACCTCCTCCACTCCTGACCAGCCTCGCGGACCACTTCGCATAAGACACAAACTCTAACTTATCAAAAAGTGCTTGACATGCTTCCAGCGTTGACCGGAAGATGCGAAAGCAAGAGGTGATTTTGTAAGGACCCCCGTGGCGACCGAAGTTCGAAGAAAAACAATCCCAATCACAATAAGGAAGTTGCTAGCAGAACAGAGGAAACTGCCATTGATGTCTCAGGTGGACCACCCTTCGACAACTCCCTCTCTCCTTGCCCACCCTCGGACTTTACATTCTTTTGCAGGCACTATATCCCATTCACAATGGATCCGGGTTCTTCGCTGGATTACAACACCCGCCACGGTATCCTCAAGCCCGACATCCCCTATGCTAATATTGACTCTTACTTCACCGTCCGCGAGCACTTTCCGCCTCAGCCCCGGCAGACCTTCGACCTCCGTTTGTCTGGACCCGAGCAGGAGCGACGAATAACAACGGACATTCTGACTCGGTGCATTGAGAACAGTCCGGATTCTGGTGAGATGGGCACGCAGAAACTCACTCTCCGGACCCTCAGGGTGCTACAGGTCCGCGATGGGTCGACTTCGCAGGTGGTGCTGGTTAAAATCATTAAGGGTGACCTCGCCAACATGCTGGTAGTCGCCAAGTTCTATGATCCACTGTACTACAACCACCGGAAATCTGAAGTCGATCCGTTCCGCTGCGTCGAGGAGGAGTATACCCGGGAGACGGCGGTTTACCAACACCTGCATCAGCATGGCCTGAGTGACTATATTCCCCAATTCTGCGGATCCTATTCGCTCGACATGCCAGTTCCCAATAGAGGCATTCGTCAGGTGCGTCTGATCCTCGTGGAGTTCATGTCGGGGTTCCCCATGGACCGTCTTCGTCTCGACCGACTCGCCGTGGAGACCCGGCAACACATCATGGAGCAGATCGTCAGAGCCGAGTCCAGATTCTACGCCGTCGGCGTGCGGCACAAGGGCCTTTGCAGGCGTATCATCATGGTCGAGGGAGTCAGGAACCACGACCCTACCTGTCGACCGTACATCACTATAACTGACTTTGGGCAAGCGTATATCGGTTGCGCCACTCGCGAATCTCGCTGGTCGCATGAGGACCGCCTCCTCCCCATTTACATCACTCCTATTATCCGCTGGTCTTGCGGCTGCGTGTCAAAGAAGAACGATTTCGTAAAATGGTGTGATTGGGACTGGAAGGACTGGCTGTGCAAGACATTCGCCAAGGACGACCAGCAACCATACCACTCCACAGATGGCCAAAAGGGCCTCCGCCGATGTTCGTGGGGATAAATGCTTCGGCGACATATTTGGTGCTCAGTATCAGTGGTGAGCTTACTTGCCTGCCTCCCCTATTTTTGAGCCAAATAGTGTCGATGCTGGATGGTGCTACTTATCCTATTGTTATCTGGAAACGCCTTTGATGTCGGAGATAGACCTACCTTCAACCTTCACCTTGTCCTCTCCTTTCACTTTCTACACTGTAGTGGTGCATAGCTCTCATTGGTCCCCTACCGCCCATTTCATTTTGTTTCAATTTCTGCCTTGCGACCTTCTTGGAAAAATGCTGACAAGCACTTGGACTCCATCCATAGCTCATATAGACACTAGCTAATTTCAGAACCACGTTTATCCTCGCGCCTCCCTCAGACAGTTTGAAACTTCCTAGAAGTGTCAATGTATCTGCACTTCCAATCACACACCATGAAATGAGAAGACAGGGCTCTGAGTACAGCGAGACCTGATCAATCCCGAAACACGACCGACGGACGCCAACTCTTCCCGCGGAGCTCGCTGGGGACGGAAGAAACTCATCCCAACCTGCACCCCTCTCAAACAGCTTTGTTTTGGGGCTACGAACGAGACCGATTTGATGAACCAAAAAAGGCAGGGATGGCCTCTGAGGAGAATAGTCACAAAGCAAAAATAAATGGTCCCAGAGGGGCTCGAACCCTCGACTTTAACGTTATTAGCGTTACGCTCTAACCAACTGAGCTATGGGACCCAGTTGATATCTCGAGCTCTTTCCTGGAACTCATAAAGCAATGGCCAATAGTGAGCTGTGAGGTTGAACTCGTTCAGTTCTCAACCGCTCATACCCGTCGTCGCCCGCCAGGATTGTTCCAGCGGGACTGAGACCAGTTCTTCTCGGACAGCGGCATTGCGGTGAACCCCAACATTCGAGATAGCAAATCAATCTCCTCTCCGCGGGCATCCGCTGGCCAGATTGGCCCACACACGTGGAGGGGTAAATGCAATGCAGCATTTCGAAGGCCTTTCCTAGGTTGTCTGGCTCCTTTTGGAAAGATGACGAGCAAAGGTCCGATGCAAGGGTCCAGTCCGCATGTTTGGCTTCCGGACTTCCGACCCTCGCGTGCTGGGGCCGAACGGACCAATGTGCGCGCGATTGCATGCTACACCTTTGAGAATCAGGCTGACCGCAGCGTGACCAGCTGCCGCAGACAGAGGGGCCGGGAGTGGGCTTTCGAGCACCACCCCCGCATTGCAGGGATACCAGAATCCGATGCTTAAGTGCTCCGGCGGATATTCTATTGGGCTACGCGGGTCAGAACGAGTGGACGCCAGCAAGGCTGACTGACGCAATCGAATCGAGTTCTAGGTCTAGCTACGAGCTTGGTTGGGGTGGGAAGAGCAGAAAAGAAAAGCAGAGGAGGAGAGGGGCCAAGATAAGTGCTTACGCCTCGTTCTTTCTTACCCTGAAGGATGCAGAACCCGTCGGTGCACCTTATATACTTTGCAGCTCCGAGCATGGAACTGGTACCTGTTTCAGACCAGTCGCGCCGCTTTTACGAGCGGGGCTGATGCCTGCCCCTATCATCTGGGTATCCTGACTCCCTGAGGGATCTGATCCCGGGTTGATGCTGTCATTGGATGAGAGTCTGGAAAACGCTTTGGGCTCTGGCTCTGGTTGGAGATCCGAAGCGAGGATCATCGTGGGCGCGGTGGGCGGGATGACCCTGCTTACCTGCGGTAGGGGGTCAATTCCGTCGTCATCCGATCAGGCTGTCCGTCCGTCAGTCGGAGTATGCGTGCGCCATTATTCATGATTCCTAAGTTACCGATCATCGACCATCTTGGTCAGAAAGGTGGATCATACGTACCCGGCTTGACCTTATTTGCCTGTTCATCTGTGGGTAATTGGGATGAATGGTCATTCAGCCTCATCATTGTTATCCTCATCGACATCAATCATCACGGTCATTGTTCCCGCCTGAGGCAACCAAACACGACGACCGCGAGCGTGACGAGCCTCATTCCTGTTGAGCCACGTGCTTCCTTCCTTTGTCCTTCTTTGACAGTTTCCATCCATCCCACTTGGTTCCACTACTACGGAGTACACTTCAACGGTTCAACCTGAAATGAGCGAGGAGTCACCCTTTCCCCACTGACGGAGTGGAGATTGAGGCTCAACTGGGCCGTCCGACAGTCCGGAACCTCTCGTCTAGAGTTTCCTTTCGGCTGTTGAATCCTGATCCAATTGCCCTCCCTTGCGTAATCCCGTCGATAGTGGCTCGGGGTTACTGGCTTGGCTTGCTGCTGCCAGGCTCCCAAGATTTCGGTTCAATGATTACTAGACTATTGCACACGTAGCTAGCTAGCTACCTACCTACTCCGTACCTAGTCCCGAGTCGCTAGTTCGTTGAGCCTCTTCCACTTGAGTCCCTGGACGGCCGCAACAGGTCTCACGAGGGCAAGAGAGCGAATGGGAAGAGACGCTACTATTATTAGCGCCGATCGTTGAGGGCAGAGCAAGAGGTCGTACTGCTGACGGCACTGAAACGCAGACGCAGCCTTGTCTAGGGTTGTCCCCCTGACAATCACCCTAAGATACCGTGGATGAGTTAACCCGATATTGGAGGGATGTCATAACACAGCAGGACACAGAGATCATGCCTGATCTGACCGCCCTTCTAGATAGGTATGCTTTGAGTGGGACGGTCGATCTTCGTTGTCGCATTTTTGTTCGAGTGGGTCGTACTTGTGGAGCTTTGCGGCTATTACTGTCGTTGTTGGTATTGTTGCTGCTGCTTGCTGCTTGCGGCGACTGCGACTACGTCCTGGTCCTGGTGGTCCTGGTCCTTGTTGATTACTGCTGTCACTCGGACCCTCGGACCCTCGGTGACTTTTTAGTCTTCCTTTTTTGTTCCCTCGGGCGGGTCTCTTGCTAGAACTTGTAAGAGAGAGAAAGCAGAGAGAGGGAGTAATCAATTATTATTATTCCCACTCACTACTACACGCACTAGCTCACCTACCTTACTTTTCGCCCCCCCTCTCTTACTGATCTGAGCTGCTGCCCCCGGTTCATTTTCACCCTCCCAGGAATGAGACGGAAAACCAGCCACAGAGCCGCATCAGGACCCAAAAAGTACAAGTTCTCACCATGACGGCTGATCTCCCTCTTGACTCGGCCCAGGCGTTTCCTTTGCATGATCGTTGATTGTCATGGCCTGGGTGGATATTCTTCAGCTGGATTAAATTTTTTTTTTCCTTTATTTCTTTTTGTCTCGCTCTTGATTGCTTTCTTGCCACTGCTCAGATCTTCAGCTGAGACATGCGATTGGCTCGGAATTGAACTTTTAAGCGAAATTCGACCGATCGTGTCTTGAATGAATGAGGCTCGCCACAGTCCACTTGCACTGAAAAACACTGCATACTTCAAGGCTTGAGGCTTGGTTGATTGCCTGCGCGGCACTGCAGCGCATTGCAAACATATTACCCGTTGTGGTTTGGCTGAATTGGGCATCGGGTGCCCCCTCGACGTCTGCCTTCCTAACTGGGTTACCAGATCACCACTCAGGGCTCCATACTTTATCTCCATCTGACCGCCTTGATTTGTTTCTTCCATCCTTGTAGTCAACAATCCTTCCTCTTGTGATTATTATCGCTTGATTCTTTTTCCAAAGACCAGTGTCTGCGACACTTGACTGTCTCTTTCCTGATGGTATCGGTTTAGACCTACAGCTTTCCTACCGTCTTGCGTTCCCCTTCCCTTCGCCGCGCATGGTTGATAGTCCGAGATGGACACCGCGCATAGACCCTCCAAGAATCTGGACTGTATTCCCTACGATGTGTTCTATCAGATCGCGTCCAGACTGGGGTCCCAAGACCTGGTCCAGCTGGGCCGCGTCAACGGGACCCTATACCGTCTCGTCCAGGACGAGAACATTGCCCGCAAAGCCATCGAGGTACCTCTCTCTGATCTACACGGATAGGGGCATGACTGACTGCCCTAGAATGAATTGCGTCATACCACCGAAGGCCAGGAAGCCATTGCCGCCAGAAAAGGGTACCGCAAAGCTCTGGGCCGGGTGTTCGACATCCGCGAGGCCTTTGCGACTGCGCAGCCATACTCTGCTTCCCTCCTCGCCTATGGCAGCTCATTTCTCTACGGTGGGGGTGCCCTGACCTACATTTACAGAGAGGAGATCCGCGTACTGGACGTTCACGGCGCCAGCTGCACTGAGCAAGTGTTGAACCTTCACCGTGTCGTGTCGCGAATCATCCCGTCCTGTGACCCGAACGAAGAGACGATTCACATCCGGCTCATGCAGTATCACGACTGGAATCTGGCATTCACCGTGGAACGCGAAGACACGGAGGAGACCTGGTTGATAGCCGTGGACATGCGCCCCAAATTGGAATGCCACAAGACAGGGCGATTGCGGTTCATCACTCGGTTGCCGGACACCCGACGGCTTTTTGTCCGGCTCAACACTCGGTACATCTACTGGGGAACACACAGCATGCTGAGCGCCGACGGCCATCTGCAATGGGTGGTCGAATGCGCGGATCTGCAGACGGGTCGCAACACCACCCGGGCGCCTCTGATCCTCGACAACTTCTCCGGACACGATATCTCCCAGAACGTATGTTTTGGCGTCTACGATGACCACCTCTATGCAGTGTCGACGATGATCGGCCACGAAGCGGAGGAGATCGACTGGACCTCCTACTATGTGTGGCTGTGCATGTCGCCCACGGAGGAACCCAAGCGGAGCACGATCAACTTCAAGTGGCGGCGGCAGCACCGCGAGGGCCCGGTGAACGACACCTGGTCGGATCTGTCCCTCCGGGTCGATGAGGCCACGAAGCAGCTGATGATCCTCGAGTGTCGCCGTGAGTGGATCAACAGCGGCAGCGAGAACATTCGCACGTACTACATGCAGTCGCTGCCATCGCCGGCTGAGATCGAGCAGAGTAAGCAGGAGCGCTTCGCCGGCTTACTCCGTCGGACCCGCAACGCACCACCCCCGCCCGCCGTGCTCCCCGAC